AGCTAGAGGGTTGACATAATTGACCACATCCGGAGCTTTGGATCATGAAGATCTGCTCTGCAAACCGTTGGGAGCAGGCTACTAAGATAAGAATAACGCGGCTTTCGGGTAGGAAGGAACTACTCAAGACGTCAAAGGAGCGGCATGCAGCCCAAGAGAAATTTCCTGGACCACCGAACTCGCCGGCGAGCACGAAAGATGTTGACAGCCGGGTACGTCATGCGCTTTCGTAGAAGCAAGTGGACATCAAGGTTATTTATCCACTCTCCGTTAGGTACTTGTCGCAGAATTGAGCGTTCAGTGATCTCCAAGCTGTTCACATTTGTTTTGACATGGCATCTTACGGGCTCTTGTGGTATTTAGTGAGGAACTAGGTGACGAACACAGAACCCTAACGCTCTAGAGCGCTGCGGATGATTATCACCTGCGACTACTTACTCACCTCGCCTGCGAACACTCGAGACTTAATCACTGTTATTTTCGCAAGGAACGTGTACTTCGATTCACAACCTGGAGACACCCCTGGGGCGTACAGCCGAACCAGCCAGTGGTCGATTCACTTCCAAGGGGTTTCCTGTAAAAGTACCCGAGTTATCAGTTTAGCCACAACTGCCTCCACTCTACTTGTGTGCTACATTCTGCTGCATCCCACTGCTCATCGTGAAAGGCGCTTAAGTTAAGGTGTTTTCCCCCGATAGAAATTGCTTTGACTACGGTTTTATTCTTTGAAAGTACATCACACTTCTCAGAAATATCCTGTCACGGAGGTATTCTCTAGTCTGATGACTATCTTCGCTTCTACTAATCACACCAGTTTGTGGTCCTTTCTACTTTTGAAAATCACCTGTGAAATTTCGCTCTATTCTGGGATTTATACAGCGAATCCCTTGATCGTGGATACATCTACGAGAATCTCTTTTTGGCTCGCCACGATAATTTGGTTGCGTCTCCACCGCCATACCTCGCTGTCTCCATTTAATTTATTCTGCCGCAATTAAAGTGGACCTTAACCTGGTGCAACAGTTTACTTACCTCGTCGACCCATTGAATGACACTGAGTGCCGCCCTCGGGCTCTTTGGGAACCACTCCTACCAGGTTGGTTAGAGGTCAGACGAACTCAGTGTTCTGATCCTCCAGGTTAGGGGTTTGAAGTTTGATAGCGTCCATTTCTGTAAAACCGAATAATTGCTACCTCCTCGCTGCCTTGCAGATAGGCTTTTGAGCCAAGGGATTTGGTTGAGAATCCTGGTCGTTCTCCCGCTGCCCACGTCCGGCCTTGCGCCACCCTACATTTGACGTGCAAAACAAGGCTCTCCTCGGTAAACGGTAGCCGGGCATGCGTAGTACGTACTCAAGCCAACGCAGCTTAATCAGTGCTGTCTGTTACTTTAAGAACCTAGCATGATTATCACTGCCTAACACTATTATACGCACATAATCGTTGTGGATACCCTGCTGACATCGGATACCAGCAATGCTTCGCAGAGGATCAAAAACTTGAAGGCGCCGCAGCTCCTTAGGTCGGATATGTCAAGTCTCACTCCCATAGAGTAGGACTGCCCTCATTGTGGCCTTGTAGACACCGAGAGAAACCCCTTTCTGACACTGCAGATACCTCATATTCAAGACAGTTCCGGAGTTTGTAACACGTGAACTAACTTCAGTGGTTATGCGCCCGTGGTTGTTGATGCGGTTGCCAAGTTAAGTGAATTGATCAACTACCTCGAGTTCCTCGCTATCAAGAGTCAAGGCGTTATCAACTGGCTGATGGTCCTGTAATGGCACTTTGCATTTTGAAGGTGTGAATCGCATGCCAAATGATTAAACTACTCTACAGGGATTATTCAGGATTGACTGGGCCACCCCAACATCGTTAGTTAGCACGACAATATCGTCCGCATAGCCATGATCAACTAGCTTTTCACCAGGCAACATTTCAACGCCTGCATCGTGTGGCTGTCACTAGCATACTCCGTGATTGAATCCACGATTATGTTGAACAAAAATGGGGCGATTGGATAGCTCTCCAACAACAAGTGGCGGGAATTGAAGTCGCTGACTACCAAACTCAATGCTGTTGGTCCATCTCGCCTTCCTGGTTGGTGTCCACGTGACCCACCTTGTGCGTGTCTCAAGACGTTAAAGTACATGGCTCGCAGTCGGCACCAATGGCATGTCTGCTATCGTTTCCTAGTCGGCCTGCTAATTTAAAGTGTGTTTGGTGCTTACTCATCTTTGGGCTGATGGCTGATTAAGACGAGGGGCATTGCAAGCCCCAATCAAGCTGTCTTGATGTCGCCTTATATGTGCAATTATAGCCAGCTATTGTGATGATATGTTGTTGACACGATGTAGACGTCTTGACCCAAAATGTTTGTTTAGGGCTTTTTTAACCGTTGATGCCTCTTCTCATCCTCTTCTTTTTCTTCCCTTCGTAATTATTGTGGTTGTATGGCAGCGAAACAACAGTTCAAATGTCCGACGTACTGTTGCTGCTGCTGCTGATAACTTAATTTTGTGGCCACAGTAATTATGAATGACTTTATCCCGCCTCTCTCTACTTCTCCTGGGGTAAATTTTCTGTTTGGTGACTGGCTGTTAGACCTGGGGCGTGCGGACGCCATTTTCTTTAGACTGGACATAGGGTGCTAATTAAGCGCTCCCGATTAGTCTGATGCGTTGTATTGTGCGCTTTTACATGCACTGCGTTTTGTGGTTGGGAGCACTTACAGAAATCGACTAACTCACCTTCGGTTCTTACTGTCACCGTACAACCACTGGAATTGGTCGATCAAATTACTTATCTGAATGCCTATACAACGTCTGACTGATACATCATCAAAGGAGTTACTGTGCGGATTCTTGGCGTTCGTAGGTATTCTAGAGCATCGTTTCTTCTGGAGACGATGGAATGTTTTAGTGTCTGTTCAGCTGGGGTGCAGCATGCACTATTGTATTGATCACAGACCTGACCTCTGCCTATCGAGAATGTTAGGCAACTGATCTTGTTTGACTACAAACTTTTGCGGTCTGTTCCTATCCGATGGGCAAACCGAGTGTGTAGTAATCGTAGTAGTACTCTTAGCAGTCTGTCAACTAGACACAGAGCCAACATAAAACCATGGAGATCAGCAGATAAGGGACCGACATCGCGTGTAATGCAGTGGTTTATCATTTGATGTATGACCCCCGGTGCTTCCATACTGTGCCTGATGATCTTAGACTGCCTTGATTGGTTCGATCATTTGTTCCTCATTCTCTCCTGCCGTGGTGGACATTGTTTTCCAATATTTTGCCTGTTTGGATGGAACCCCTAGTTAGCAAAGTAGTATGAACGGCTAGGTGGGATTGGTGCTCGTTGTCTTATTGGGTGCAGTAAAGGCAAACTGCGTCGGTGTCTCACACCAACGCTTCCCTACGAGGTCACCCGCATCGATTTTGACTTGAATCGGTGACCTGTGCATCACAGTTCGGGCGCCTGAATCACTCGACCACCGACTAGATGAGGTGCTCGCTGACGACCACATAATTAATTGAACAACTTATAAACTATTGTGTAGTTCGAAAGTTAGTGACGCTATTGTATCTGATTTTTTTAATCTTGGAACCTTAGCTATTGCGTTAGACGATTGGGATCGTCGTCCACACTTCTTGAATTATTGTTGTTTTAATGTCCCCCATTATTACTTCAATTTTGCCTACGAGTGTCAAGGTAACTGGATGTACTTCACATGGATTTACGGGTCAAAGTTGGTAAGCTGAACTGGAATAAATTAATCAGTCGCCTTGCTTACTTGGGTGGCTGCATCCCTTCTGTTGGGAAGCCACGGAAAGGTAACCGGGCCCCTTAGTATGGGTCGCGAGGCCTTTCAAACTTGCTCTTTTTTGGGCCGGTGGCTTATTCATTAGGCGAAAGGCGCCCAATGTTTCAGTCTTCCTACTCTGGTGTTGTTGTATGGCTCAGTAACGTGCACCGCGTGCGGAGAATGTCGAGGATCTGATTGTGAATAACCATAGTTGTTTTGCGTAGCACAACTCATCTGGTGGGAACTCCGATTGAGCATTACAAAAGTCTACCACTTTTCGTCTGACAATAAGCACTTTGACTAGGTATGTACTTTCCTTTATACTAGAATCGTCTTAGTTGCCTATATCACTTTCTTCGTTTATCCAGCGACCGGCGTCTGTCGTTTGCCATTACCATTCCTGGTCGGTCGGGGCCTCGGGGTGGCCTACAAATGGCACGGCGAAACGTCAGGAAGCAACTGGTTGAGGTTGTTTTAGCTTGGCGCACATCTTTGACCAGAAACTTTCGAACATGTTTTTTCGAAGCCGGTGGTTCTCTTGTATTTTGCATATACCGTTTATTGGTCGACTCTTCTATCTAAAGATCACATCCAAAAGCTCAAAAACTGTGATTGGAAGAATTGATAAAATTGTTTGTTTTTTCTTCTTTTTCTTTTCCTATTCCGCCATGGTTCCGATGGCAAAATACCTGTACCCAGATTGTGATATATATATATATATATATATATATATATATATATATGTTTAGTTGCTCTTTTTCACTGGATTTTTCTCCATTATTCTGTTCACTGTCATGTTGACACGGTCATCGATAGTTGTCTCCACGACTCCACTGTGCTGCATTCATAGCTGACCGACTGAACTTTACTTCTACTTGGCACTAGGAATAGGTATGCAAGCCTTGGTTCCTATAAGCTTAGCTTCGTACTGTATAACAATCCTTGGTAGCTGTCTTTCCTCACACACCCACCTTTCTCGCTGTCTTACACTGGTTCCGAAAACTTCGATGATTGTAGCAGATACGCCTGTTCGCTACTGAATTCAACCAAAGAGTGGTGGGGTTCATACGCGTGTAGTGAATTACTGACGCCGTACAAAATGAAACATTGGCTTTCTTCACTGTGCTGCTCCTGTTTGTAATTGTTGTATCTCCCTAATTCTGTTTACAAACCAGTGCTATTTTTAATTATAGATGCTTCGTTGACGTTTTATTACCATTAAGCTCTAACTTCTCTTTCTGACCTACGATATGTTACCCTTGAGGAAACTTCATTCCGCTGTTGCCAGTGCTAACCGTATTTGGTCCGTCGCATGGTCTCACAGTGGTGATATTTTGGCATCCTGTGGAGAGGACAGGACGCTCAAATTGTGGTTGTGCTCTCCTGATCAACGTTGGGATTGTCGATACACCGTACCCAGTTGTCACAAGCGATCTGTCCGACGAGTTGCTTGGTCCCCTTGTGATAATTATCTCGCATCATCCAGTTTTGATGGAACCATTGTCATTTGGAAACTCTCGAAGCGCCCTGATTCAGTGGACTTGGAGGCTCTGGTTACATTAGAAGGTGAGTTGTTTAATTTGTTTCCTCTCTTGAATTTCACAATGTTTGTACATTTACTTTGTGTTTTTCATTTTGCCTACCTTCTTTTGAGGTCACACAAGCGAAGTAAAGTGCGTTGCATGGTCTTCCTCTGGTCGCCTGATTGCCTCATGTGGCCGGGACAAGAGTGTCTGGTTCTGGGAATTCGATGAAGAAGAGGACGTGCAGTGTGTCAGCGTCTTGCAGCCGCACCGCCAAGATGTTAAGGCCGTTACTTGGCATCCGTTTGAAGAGGTAGTTTGACTTTCTTATGTATACTTGTAGCCCGTTGAATCATACTTTGGTTACATCTCGTGCATCTTAATACAGCGTTACTGCGTGTAATCTGCAGGATATATCCAATTTGGCCGTTGTTGTGTCTTTTTTGTATTTTAACTTAGGATTGATCAGCATTCTCATCTCAGAATGGTTGGTTGCAAGTAAGCCGTTTGTGACCTTCTGGGGGCTCATATTCCACCATTTCCACCAGCTTCTTGTGTTGTCACGTGCATTTCAGTTCGGTGGGATATGATGTCTGTGATTGTCTCTCAAGTAAACCGAAATCCAACCCAAATGCTGCATTGTTGTTTTGTTTAGAAACTTTCATAATTATATCGACATACTGACTTCGGCGATGACATTATTTGGCCGGCCACTTATCCCGGTTGGGTCACCGATCATCCGTGTGTTGTGGTTCGCATTGACCCTGATTGTTGGTTTTTAGACAACTTAGTTTGGAGCCTACCTTTGTTTTTTGCAAGCGTGCAATAGTGTGCATCAATTATTGAAGCATTTGCTAATTCTAACCACCATTCAACTTGATGATGCTTCTTGGTAGTCGATCGAGAGTGGACAATCTGGATAATTCCATATCCTAGCATTCGTCTTTTTGACGAATAATTGAAAATCCTTACTGACCTTTGCGCTTAACACATTATCTAACTTTGCGATTGGCTGCTTTGAGTTAATGTTTCGCAGCAACAGGACATCAGGAAAACATAAAAGTGGATACAGTACCCACAATAAGTTTTGCAATTACTGACCTATTTTTCAGCTAACATCTAAGTGCCAACTTCGTACATCGTAAAGCTGAGGGAGAATCAGCTGGCAGACCATGAGCACTAATGATATGACTTTGTGCCGCACCTGTCGGACGAGACTATCTTGCATCTTATGAATCCTCGTCTACATAGCTCAAATACACCGGCAGTGTGTTTGTGCTGCGACTAGCTACTGCTCATATGCAGCTAGTGATAAGCATATAGTTACAGGTTCCGATCCCTATTATCTGTTCAGCAGACATCGGCTCCGGGACTACTTCGTAAACGCTTATAGACCGTCAACTGGGGCATGCATGTCACCAGCGCTTGTTACAATATCAGTATTCTTCAGCACACGATGATCTAATGCATCACTCTTCTCCGCTACGCACCAACACACTAATGATGTGGCCCCGAATTGGTGACGAGACTTTTGAAAAAAAATTGCGGAGCTCAGTTAACAGCTCGACTACCGGCTATGAGAGTTACCGACACAATTCATTTTCGATGACATCTGAGCTGCAGTTGGTTGGGATATACGCCTAAATGATAAACTATTCCGCTGTCGGAACGCGCACATATGACTGTCTATCGTTATACCATCGGAAAGTGTGTCTCTAGTGTGTTTTTCGAGCGCAATACTTGCACCATAAATACCTCGAGCCATAAGCTATGTTATCACAGATACGAGGAGTGCAGCCATTGTCTATAAATTTGGAACCAAGAACTCCAAGTTTCGTTCCCATGCTGTTTCGGAAGCACAGTATCCATTGATTCCAAGTGATTGAAGACGGAGAGTTGGTGCCACCTGTTGGCCTGTCGAACTTAGAGTGCAGAAGCCAATGTGAAGTGATATCCTCAGTCTGTAGGACTCATTGGGAGGCTCTTGTTCATTAACCGGAGAAAAACAACTGCAAGGGGAAATATACGAATATTGATGGCGGAGTCTTATGACAAACGATACTCCGGCTGCTCTTTCCAGGAAGGCCGATCAGTCGCCTAAAGGCAACAACCTTGTCTTGTAATCCGACGGCGCGGGTTCGATCCTGCGTAGTAACAGGGCGACCCTCGCCGTTTCCTTAGCTCACGTGCAACCGGTGATGGTTACGCGGCAGAGAAGCGTCGGTACTGCGTGCCGGCGTACTGCTAAGAGGTCTCTCTTCCAAGCAGGGTTTTGCATGATTTACCAAACCTCTGAACTTTGACTCAGCAGGTATGATCTACAAGGTGCTTGGGTACATGCGTGTTTATTTGACGGAATGCACTCGGAGCCATCTTAAGTGATCTGTTGAGAGGAATTTGGTGAAAGTGCTGTTAATAATCCACCTATTTGAAGGATTCCCTTCCTTTAAATAGAACAACTAGCTACATTTACGAGATAACATATAGAGATTAGGCAAATGAACATAAACCAAACGGTGAGAGAATTGCGCACAAGAATTTCAGAATGTAGGCAACGCATGTCACAGGCACTGAGGAACAAGTTTGAGTATGGAAATCTATTAAGTGATCAGGCAGTAAAAGTGCATGGAAAGAAATCATTGAGAGCAGTACGCCGGTACGCACTGCAGACGCTTCGCTGCCCCGCAACCACCACCCTTCGCACGTGGGCTAAGGATACTACAAAAGTTGCCGTGCTCCTACAGAAGCTCGAACCCGCGCCGTCAGGTTACAAGGCAAGCTCGTTACTTTTAGGCTACGGGCCGGCATGGGCTAGACACAGAAGATGAAATTGATTTCCACAATATAGACATATTCAAGAGTGGATTGCGATCAACTGCAAAAAGGCTAATGGCTGAGGATGTGGAAATTTCCAAACCCAACACCCATGAATGGGATAGGTGGGGCTGGCTGTCGAGTGCCTGGCGTCCAGCCTTACTCTGGCCAATTAGATGATTGTCAGTAGAGGGATTTGGACATATGCGCAGTATCAAAACCACTTCCACCTCAAGATCATAGATATCAGTAATTTTCTTCCAGTATTTTGATCGAATTCCTTTCAGTGGATCACTTACGCTTGCAGCCCAACAAACGCCTATTATTGTTCTGCGACTGATATCTCTTGTCCCAAATTTTGTCCGCGTTCGCTATAAAATGCTCAATTCTAAGCTAGTTCACTTGGCCTAAAGAAACCACTTTGTCAAAGGCGAAACGTCGTCCAGTAGGTACCTTAACCAGTTGTCCACAAGTCTTTCGGAAATAACTTCCCAATCGATTCCGAGATGTCTAATGCCATCTTCTTTGTCCATAACAGTGATTTAGTTCACGTTATCTAACTACTGAAAACTGAGTAGTGTGTTCAAAGTGATGCGGATATAAATCGGGGATCAGGGAGAAGTGCATGTTTGATTTTTGTTTTGTGAGTTTATTTGTCCCTCCCCTTCCGTTTAGTTTCTCTCTCCAACAACGATTTATACCCGATGCATAATATGATATTTAGTACATTACTTTTTGGTTTTTGTAGTCTGTGCTGTTTAATACCTTATCCTTTTTGTATTGCGACACATTGGTTGAAGTCTGTCTATCACTCTCGGCTAAGGTGTATTGTCGCGCAACGTAGAATGTGCACAAAAGATAGAGCATTTATTTTGGAACGGGATAACTTATCTACTTATTGATAGCGTGTGGGGATGGATGTGCTCCGAATATGGATTTTTTTCCCTACTGTATTTCCTATGACGACATGGTAATGGAGCATACTTAAGTTAGCATGATAATGGGGTTAACTATTGGTTTGTCTCAGTTTTCTAACTTCCATATGGGCGTGAGAAGTGCAAGGTAGGCTTGGCGGGGCTTAAAGATAAACGAGTGGATGGGGGAAGAACACAGAAGTTACCTGCGTCCTGTTTCTTGTCTCGAAACCACGTCACTGCTTTCTTTCCAACTTGCTACATCGTCAAGTTAGGCTGCTTTATCCGGTTACAAAATTGTATCCGTATTTAACATCTCAGTAAGCAGCTTTTGTGCTCACCTACATTTCTAGAGTCTTCTTGGTAATCTTCCTCTACGCTAGTCCAGTTGCTCTCGTAATCCGTAGACGGATGTTTCCCATGCTTAAGCCTTAAAGAGAGTGTCCCGCGAGAACATTGCTAGCCCCTGTTTCTAACCCTCAACTGTTGCCATAACTGATATGATTGGTTCTGAATGAGTTGGAGGAGCATTGGATTTGGTGTATTTTCTTATTTTTTTGCTTGCATAACCAATCAGCCTATTTACACACAGCTAGATAATGTTTGCTAATCAGATCTTTTACTTCGATTTGTGTAACAGCATACACTAGAAAGATGATACGCTTCATTTTCTGCGTTAAATTAGCCACCAAACACGCCTTTATTCTGCAATATGCAACCCATAAGATAAACTGGAAGCAATTTCAACCATTTATCCGATCATCCGCTTGGGACGCATTTTTCCTCTCTAACAATGTGTGCACTGCCATGGACTTTTTATACCATCGGGTCCATCAAGCCATTGCTGTCCTTACTCCCCAAGACAAGGGGATCAAACGTGTCCAGAAAGACGTAATCGTGCGTCAGCCGAAAACACAGAAGCCTAATTGCTGGATACTGAAAGACGGAAAATTTCCCCCTGCCTTTGCAGTTGCACAACATCATTGACACGGTCAAGCACATACAGTTAACGAAGAGGATACACGAAAAACCAATGGCTCTACGAACGACATATAAAACCAAAGAACTTGTTAAAAATCTGCGTCGCAGAACTAATTACCACCCCCCCTTTATCGATGGACTAGTTAATGCAGACGGACAGTCCTTTCATGATCCAGCCAACATCTGCGAAGCGTTTAGCTCATCTTTCGCTACCTCCATGAGCCTAGAGACGACTCCGTTAAATGCTTGCTTTGGGGTGCAAACAACCAACGCCCCGCGTAACGTTGAATTTTCTATCATTGCTGTCCAACAGTTAATGAATTCCATCAAACAGTCGTCCCATCTGCATTCCGATTTTATCCCACCTATTGCCATAAAATTGGGAGGGCCTGACATACTGTTGCTATTGCTGAACATGTTTACCATTTCCTTGAAACCAAGCTACTTTCCAGACCAGTTGAAATCATCACTCATCATCCCCCGTTACAAGGCTGGCTCCAAACAAGAAATTAATAATTACTGGCCAATTCATCACACCCCTGTAATATCCGGAATATTAGAGAAACTGGTTAAGAATGGTGTGATTAAATCTATCAACAGCTCTCAGCATGGTTTCTTGGACAAACGATCATGCATAATCTTCCAATTACATTATCTAGACCATGTTCCAGATTCCATGGACTCAGGATACGCAGTCATCATTCTGTTTCTGGACATGGAAAAGGCATTCGATGGAGTGCACCACAAACGGCTACTGGAAATGATTGCTCCCTTTGAAATCCAGGAGCCACGCTTAGGCTGGCTATTGTCATACCTAAGCGGCCGTTCTCAAGGAGTTACCACAGTTGACCATCACTCTTCATCACGTCCAATCACTAGTGATGTCATTCATGGAAGTGTACTTGGTCCGTTACTGTACCTGCTCTACTTCAATGATATCAGTGCGGTTATCAGACATGGCATGCCATTTCTATTTGCAGATGACATAAAGATAGTCTACAAATACCGACGAGCTGTAATGCAAGACACACTGCTGCTCATACAGACAGACCTCCACTCCCTTGAGAAATGGTGTGACACCGGGATGATGAAGTTCTCGGCGAAAAAATTTAGCATAATGTATCGCGGTTGTTCGATACCCAAGGGATAAATTACACTCAACGCGAGCTGGCTAGGGCCAGCAAATCAGTAGCTACTATACTGCATAAGATTTACATAGTCCCAAGCAAAGTGGAACTCTTCAAAATACACACTTGTCCTGTTGTGGAATACAGCAGTATCATTTGTGGCAGCATGAGGAAATCTGACAGAGTATCTCTGGAAAGCATACAAAGGTCATTTACCAAACGTCTGCTATGCAAAACATCCACTAAGAACTATCGGGAGCGCTGCCAACAATTCCAGCTCGATCCGCTTTGGCTATGAAGATTGAGACATAACCTGGTGCTTCTGTGCAATACAGTTAATCAAGATTTCCACTGCCATTTACCCTTCCTAGAACTACAGTTTAGTTCGACAAGGGAGCTACACAATAAAAAGTTTATCCTGAGTGTGCCCAGGTGCAGGGTAAATCTGCGGTCCAACTTCCTTATCAGCTATGCTGTCCTGTGGAATAAGCTCCCAGTCACAATCAGATTGTGTGAGGTCGCAACGGTCTCTCGCGTCAAGTTTGTCAAATACCTAGAATTGCACGCGATTATGACCCTGTTCTCTCGGGAGAGATCACTTGATGATTTGTTACAAGAAGGGTCAGACAACATCTGATGGGTGAAACAAAAGAATAGCACGCAGTGTGATGCAGCCCTAGTGCTGTTACCATCCGCTATTCCAACTAGTGCACATTGCGTCGAAACACACCTGAAACAGCAAAAGCGATAATAATCACACCACTGTTTGGCATTCATGTATGAGCAAGCCATTTGCTGTAAAATATGATATGTGCCAAATATGGCCACAGTTTCTTCCTCGATGAGAAATATACCTATTATTATTATTATTAAAAAATCGTTGGGTATCGTGCCGACTACCCTCTTGTAAGCGGAGACAAACCGTTCGCTTTTTCCCACGACACGACGTCCATTAGTAGCATTTTGATTCGGGTTATTTCTTGACAAATGTAGCTCACAGTGTAATCCTTGATCTCTTTTTTGCAACATCCCTTGAACCGCTCGTTAACCTCTGTTTCATGCAGTTTTAGACATTTTTCTTGATGAGTAGATTTTTACTTGCAACTACTTTACAGAGCCTACTTTCTTCTCTCAGATTCTAGCCTCTTGCAGCTATGATGACACCATTAATTTGTACAAGGAAGAGTTGGATGACTGGGTGGTTGCTGTTCAGCTCAGTGAGTTATATTTCATCACATTACTCGGGGTTGTGATTTTAGCAATTATCTCACTGTAACGTAATTTAACCCGGAAGTGGCCTATCTGTTTTCTCCCCTTTTCTTTCCTCGTGTTCTATCCTCGCGTGTTTTTGTCATTAAAGAATCTGGTTTCGTAATCTGATGAAAAGCTTGTGGTTGCTGTCGCGCAAATTCATTGAAATGATCTCTGCTGCGTCAAAAACTCTCCTCGGGTCAGCTGCATCGTTTCATCGATGTGATGCCCTTGCATTGATTGGCAGCCACGGGGCTTTCTTTCTCAACATGTAATTTTTCGGACGCCTGACTTGAAACTACTGCGTTCCGGGCTTAAGTTCTCTTGGGCACCGCAATATACCGCTTGTGGTTGAACTGTAGCGAGATATCCGTAAGATATGCTGGTCTACTGTTGGCGTTGTCTTTCGAGACACATCCTGTAGGAGCAACTGCATCGCTGAACGACTTGCTGGTCGTTCCTTGTAATCCGTTATCGTCCATTGGTACACATTTTTCCGCAAATTGCATGATTCGCATGTACGAGTCAGGTGGTTGCAGGTTGCACGTATGACTCATATTCTGAGTTGCATCCACACTCCCTGGGCTTGTTCGTGATGCTGGGAGTGGATGATGCGCATTGAGAAGATAGTGAATTGATAAACAACCATCATTCGCATCCAGATGACTTCTGGGTTTCTTTCCTTTTGGTTTACACTGAGTCTGAAGAGTGCGTATGAAACTGCAGTTTGTTTGCCACAAGGAAACCATCGTTAGTGTATAGACGATTACTTTGTGCGACCGTATTTCGCCGTGTGACGAGCTACTCTGGATGCGGATGTCGTCCGCTTTATGCATACTGATGCGGCGTCGTCTTATACGGACTACGCCTTTATCTTGGTCAACTGTGGTGCCGTCTTATCAAGTGATTGTCACCCTCGTAGACCATATGCCAGTCTGAAATATCAACATTCCTGCCCTCTAGAGTCCGACAGTGTCTCCCTTGTCTTGCAGCAATGTCCATCAGTCCTCGGTCGTACTGTACAGGCGATCCCTGTTGCCACCTAGCCACAACCTGGCGCACGTTGATGAGACACTGCTACTTCTTTTCCGGCAGGCGCATATACATCTTTGTGACAGCGGTGACCTGAACTCAGGCGTCTAGCCATTGTCAAATAAGTGTGGAGGGGAGCCGTTTGACTATCTGCTCGTTTTTATGTTCTCTTTGCTTGTGTGAGTGGGCTAGTCCTTAGCGCAAAGCTAGTGGCCCACATATCATATCATAACGGTGCAATTTGCCGAGTAACACAGTGCAGGATCCTAAAAGCACCAGCATCTCTCAGTTAATCTCTTTTGGTATGCCTTGCTCTTAGTCACCGTAAATACTTAGTAGTAGTGGTAGTGACTACGTTCGTCAATTTCCATCCAATCGTCGGGCGGTACCTTTGTGTTTTCTTTATTTATGCGCCTAATGTACGCGGGTGCTTTCTATCTCCAGAACATGTGGCCAACAGATCACGTCGGTGTTTACTGCCACTCTTCAACATCGCATATTTCATCCTCCGGTCAACGTTGTTTTTATTGAACTTTTTGCCCTGGACTAAATCCATAATACAGTTGCAGTTAGATCTCCTATGAACTCATTTTGTTCTATTTATTCGGATGTTGCAGGGAAATATGATGCGGATTTCGTTTATTTTTTGGTTTGCTTCCACTCAATCGCGGACAGCATTTGGCCATGGTCATAGTGTCCCGGCACTTTGCAACATTTCTGTTTGATATTATGTTACTGCTCCCAATTTCAGTAGGATCGCGTTGTAACATTTACGTAGTATCCACTGTGGCCATGCGTCGTGGTATGATCTGAGCACCAACAACCAACACGCAGTGCAGTGGCGTGACACTACATTCACCAACTATTGGCGCACACCGAGTGTGGACCTGTGCTTCAGTGATTCCTCATGACTTTACTGATACCCCAAAAGCGAATTCCTCATGTTCTTACTCGTCTAAACACGATTTCCGTGCGCCGTCGTTACTGTGTCTTCCATCGTGAACTTGCTTAGCTCGGTTTTGGCAACACCTCTTACATGTGATCATCTCTTCTACTGCTACGTTTGCTTGCAAATGTGAAACGACTATCATGTTAAGTATCCAATCGACAAAATACCAACGAGCTGGTTCCTGATCATCCATTTTGCTGCATTTCCCTGTTGTGATCTGAACAGCACAAATGCCCATTCCGGTTAATCTACGTGACACCTCCTGTATTGCAGATGTGTTGTTTATTTTACAGTCATCGACCTCCGTGTGTATACATTTCCTCCATATCAATCACCGTGTTGAAAGTTAGCAGTGTTCGTATGACGGTATAAAGATTACGTTTATGTCATTCTCGGTTTCATTTTGTTACCTAAACATTTCCGCTTATCAGTGGACCAGTGCCAACTTTGTGTTAGGCCGTTGTTTGAAAGTGATGCGTGTCACACTCGGTTTTTTCTCCCTACCCCGTTCCATGTGCCATCAGCTGGTCATTCATCGACTGTGTGGAATGTGCAATTTTCGCCCTCGGGCGACATCCTGGCTAGCTGCAGCGCCGACCATTCCATTCGATTATGGACGGTTATCAGTGAGTCAATCAACTTATAGAAGTTGTTCTCCTGCAGCTGTTTTCATATCAACCAATTCCCCTTCGGGTCTTCTGCTATCTGCTAATCAACATACAAATTCATCCACTTTGTAATTTATAGCATGTTGTTAACAGGTCGGTGCTGGAAGTGCTTCTTTATTAATTTATTGGTGTTCTAGCCGTCGCAGATGACAATCAACGGCGCCCTATCTACTGCATCGAACGTGGTGGATAGGGGTGGGGTTGCTACTTCTCAGGCCTACTCGTTTTCTTACTCCCATTCCTAATTTTTTTCCTCCTTATCATCCGGTTACAACCTGACTATTATCCCCGTCTTCAACTCCCCACTTCTTTGCTCTCCCCATCTTGCTTCAATAGGCTTTTATTTTCTAAGTTTACCTGACACGCAATCGCGAAGCGTAACTCCTGCATTGGGGAATACTCTATGCCCAATTTAGCGGACATCGCCTCTTCAACTTTTTCTGTTTTAAGCCCTCGAACCCCGCTGAGACTGGTTTGCTTCAGCATGCCTAATGTATTCGAGATCGGTCACAAAAAGCACTTGCCGGAACACTGGACACACTGTTAATCAATATCTGCCGCTTATCGAAGCTCGCTGGCAAGATTAAGCTGTGCGCTAACTATACGATCCATTTCATGTTACACTAGAGCCACTTTTTTACTGCATCTATTGGAATATGACGCAGCTTCGAATGCCGCTCAAGCTGCTGTGGGTGTTGCTCTTAGCTCCCTGACTGAAGTTGCTCACACAGACTGGATCCCATTCGGTATCCGTCGAAACGAGACTGGACCTCAATATAGTGCGACGGTTTGCGTACCTCCTTGACCCATTGAGTCACACTGGGTGGTGCCTCCGGGCACCTTGAGAGCTACTCCTACCAGGTTGGTCAGTGGTGAGAGGTCAGACAAACACCGCATCCTGGTCCTCCAGGTTGGGGGTTTGAAATGGGATGACGTCCATTTCTGTAAAACTAAATTATTGCCACCTCCCCGCTGCCTTGCGGACAGGCTTTTGAGCCAAAGGCTTTGGATGAGGATCCTAATCGTCCTCCTGTCTAGGTCTAGGTGCCGTGGCAGTATCTCATCCCACATATGACTTTTTCTTCCAACATAAACTTCATCCTGCATCGGCCGTCGCGCAGATTATCAAAGGTCACCTTATCTGCTGCATACTGCAGGGCGGATAAGCGAAAACATGCTACTGCTGGCGCCTCCCTTCTTTCTTTTCCACCTTTTTCTCTTGCTTCTATCCCGACCCCCATTACTAACCTTCCTTCTTCAATTCCCAGCCTTATTGACAGCAACCGAAATGCCACTGGAGTAGTACCATCTGCAGCCACCATCCCACAGCACCTATCGGACGCCTATTGGCAAAAGTCCCTTATAAGGCCACGCTGTCCCGTTTCCATGGCGACGTTCGATTTTCGCACTCTAAGATAAACTGGTCATCAGGCTGCACTCGCACGCACCTTGGACACATTCAGTATTGATGTGTTTTGTGTGTCCGAAACTAGGATCAATGACCCCAACGGGATTAGCGAATCAACTGCACCCGGTTTATCCTCTCGTCATTATTTGCACGCATCTGGAGACGCCGATGCAGCACTCACGGACCAAGCTAATGTAGGTATCATTCTTAGCTCCAAGGTTGAGCCATCGTTAATTGGTTGGATTCCGGTGAACAGCTCTTTGTATGCAGCTCGTTCGACGACATCGACCAAGGTTGATCCACGAAGTAGTACAAAACTCTGTTTGTGATTTCCGTTTATGCCCCCAGCGACTGCAGTTCTAATGCTGTCAAGGACACATTCTGTCACGAACTGAACGCGCTACTACGCAGGGCTGCTAGTTCAGAGATTATAGTATTTGCTGGGGATTTGAACGCACACGCAGGGCGTCTGAGCTCTTCAGAAGCTCAGGTGGGTGGTAAGTATGGGCTGAACTCCGAACGGACTGACAACGGTGAGCGTCTGCTGCAACTGTGTGCGGCGCACCAATTGTTTCTTGGTAGCACTGCTTTTAGACACATCGAGCGTCGAAGTGCCACTTGGCCATCGTTGGACCCAATTTGATCACATAGCCATAAGTTACAGGTGGCGTGGTTTCATTCTGAATTGCCGCTCGTACTGGAGTACCTGTGTCGAGTGCAATCATGCCATGGTACGCTGTCGTTTCTTCATGAACTTACCGGGAGGCGCACCAAGGGTCCGCTCCGATTGGCAACTGAGGAATTGTCTCATCCCTCAGTCAGGCAAGCCTATCAAGAAGCACTGCATACCGAACTTCCGTTGTCTTGTCCTAATGACCCTGAGCTTCAGTGGAGTAGGATCTCGGCTGCCATGCACGACGCAGGAACATTTACTTGGGGCACTATCCATCGTCACCGCACCAGTCACTGGATGTCCGAGAGGTCGGTGAAGCAGTTGGAATCTAGAAGAAACTTTCTGACTGGCTCTGCGCACAATGTGACCAGGCGGACTATTAGGCGCGAACTAAAGCGGAGCCTACGTGCTGACAAGGAAGCCTGGTGGACCAATCGTGCTCAAGAAATGGAGGAGGCAGGAGCAGCAGGCAATTACCGCAAGCTCTTCCAGCTGATCTGCACCATTGGTCCCAGAAAACCAGGCGTCAGTGAGACAATCAGCGACAGCGCGGGTGCACTGATACACACTTAGGAGCGCCGTATTGCTCGTTTGGCGGAACACTTTTAGGATCAGTTCAGCTGGCCTCCTGCTTCCGGACCTCTTCCTACTCAGGCAATGCAAGACAAGCCATGGACGGTTAGTTTAGAGCCTCCGTCGGAAGTCGAGGTCCGAAACGCAATCACAGTCCTCAGTCGTTTTCATGTGGCTGGATCCGATTCCATCCCATCTGCACTATTTAAGGATGGAGGTGAGGTCCTCTGCAAAGCACTGACTTCCCTGTTCGAACGTATTTGGAAAGCAGAGAATGTCCCGGCTAATTGGAGCGAATCGATTATTGTGGCAATATACAAGAAGGGCAGTCGCACAGACTGTGCGAACCCCAGGGGTATTAGCCTAACGCCAGTTGTGACAAAATTACTGGTCTCGATTATCGTTTGTCGCCTCACTGCGGAACGGGAATCTCGGATTAGGAAAGAGCAGGCCGGTTTCCGCCCAGGACGAGGCTGTATAGACCATATATTTACTTTGCGGCAGGTGCTAGAGCAGCGCCACGCATACCGCAGACCGACAATAGCTGTGTTCCTCGATTTCAAGAGTGCGTTCGATTCAGTCGATCGATCGGTTCTGTTCGAAATACTTGCGCGGAAAGGTGTTCCCACGAAATATGTGAACATCCTTCGTGCTCTAAACTCGAACACTACAGGCCGCGTCAGGGTCTATGGTGGCCTATCGGATAGCTTTCTGATCACAAGTGGCGTTCGTCAGGGTTGTCCGATTTCCCCATTTTTGTTCAATTTCTTCGCGGATTCTATCATGGAGTGTTTCCTTGCGGAATCTCACGATGTATACGTTGAAGTGCTTCCAAGTGAAAGGTTAGTTGACCTAGATTATGCGGACGATATCGTCTTGCTTTTCGACGATGTTGCGGCGGCACAATCAACCCTGAATAGCCTGTCCAGAGTGGTCCCATTATTTGATATGCACTTCGCACCTTCAAAGTGCAAAGTGTTGCTGCAGGACCACCAGCCACTTTACGTCCTCTTTACCCTTGCTAACGAGGAGTTCGAGGTGGTTGATCAGTTCACTTAGCTTGTCAGCTGCATCAGCAACGATGGGCGCATAGAAACTGACGTCAGCTCACGCATTGCTAAGGCCAGAGCTGCCTTCTTGATCCTGGAACATCTTTGATAACAGAAGGGAATTTCTCTCCTTGTGTAAGGCCTTTCTGCTCTATGGTAGTGAGACTTGGCCCCTTCGGTCTGAAGATCTGAGGCGCCTTCAAGTCTTTGATCATCGTTGTCTGCGAAACATTGCTGATGTCGGACAGCGCCAGGTTGTCCACAACGATGATGTGCGTAGGCGATTACTAGGTGGTGATTATCATGCTAGCCCCCTAGAACAACAGCTAGCACTGAATAAGTTGCGTTGGCTCGGGCACGTGCTACGTATGCCTGGTCACCGCATACCTAGGAGGGCCTTGTTCAACCTACGAGGTGGAGGATGGCGCAAGCCTCTAGGTGGACAGAAGTTGAGTCTACGTGACTCGCCTTGTGCTTGCCTCGAGACTTTACAGGACATGGCTCGCAACCGACACCAGTGGCGCCTCTGCTGCCGTGTCCTAGTCGGTTTGCCCGTAAAAGTTTGTTTGTTGTTGATTTATTTTCTGTATAATAGCTGACTATGATGCGGGGTAGTGAGAGCCTCAAGGAAGCAGTGTTGCTCATGCCGCCTTATCTTTGCATGATGGCAAGCTGTTTGTGACGGTATGTTGTTAACACAAGGTGTAGGCGGCTTGACCCTGAATGTTTGCTTAGGGCATTAAGATTCTCAAATAAATACCCCTTCTCTTCCTATTAATAATCTTTATTCCATAGGTCGTGGTGGTTGTATGGCAGCGAAACATCAGTTTAAATGTCTGATGTCCTGCCATTGATGATTATGATGTACGCCTTCAGAATGGCTAGCTAGTTCAAAGGTTCGAAGCTGTGCTGGGAAATATGCGCCTGTTTGTCATTTCTGCCTACGTCCCCATAAACTTCAATGCTGACTGGGTGAAGGATGGCTTCCGTCGTCAACTGAACGAGCTGCTTCGCAACAGAAGCGTGGACACTGTAGTGCTAGCTGGTGGTCTGATGGGGCTCAAGTTGGAAAGTTGTCCGGTGTAGGCTTACATGTGGGCGGCCAGCATGGTCTATGCTATCATAATGTTAAAAAGTGTGGTTGTTACGTGTGTGAAGATGCTCCTCCAGTTCTCTAGGGCATTAGCTTCCGATATAGCACTCGTAAGAGAGTGACATGGCGCCCAGCCATGGACGCAGATCGATCATATCGCGA